CAATGAGGTTATGATCCAAGTAGTACAGGCTGCCTGTCTCATACCCACCACAAATCATCCTCTTAGTCTTTAGATCCTGAAAGAAAGACGAAGGATAAAAGGCTACAGAGCAATGAACAGCAAGGTTTCATAATATGGTCCACCCCCACCTAGGCGCCCAAGACACCTCTGATTGCACGCCTAGATCTGGGAGCCCCATTCTAGGCAGCTGTACTTGGGCGGGCACCTAGGGACGTGGGTCTTTTTTTATTTTTAAAGATGCCCAAATGGGCAAAGGGGGTAATTTTGACTCCCAAAAAGGTTTAAATGTGTTATGGGGGTTATTTTCAACCCTCCAAAGTTAAAAGAACACTTCCATAAGCCCTCAATCTCTTAGCTATACCTATTTATGAGAATCAAAAGTATTTTTTGTGGTTTGAAGAAGCTTCCTAAACTTTGCCCTTATTATGGAATATGGAGAGTTGGAGACTAAATACATAGCCTATTAGACTTGTAAACTTTTTTAAATTTTGTATAGTTTGAATGTTTAAATTTTAGTCTATTAGACTTTTAAATTTTTTAAAATTTTGTATGGTTTGAATGTTTAAATTTTGTATGGCTTGAATTTGAAATTTTGAATTAGTTTATTTTCAACATGCAATATGTCATATGTTTGTATTTAAAAAAGTATATTACAATATATCCAAATGCAATAAATTACAAAATTGACACAAATATATGCATATATGTGCGTTTGGACAGCACATATATGTATACATCTAAGGAATTTGTACTACAGGATGTCTGAGGTTCTAAGTGCCGACCTGTGTGCCAGCTTGGCCACTAAGGGCCGCCTAGTGTTATTTTAAAACCTTGATTAAGAGATTTGGTTAATTTGCTCGGATAATAAACTAAGAGTAGTGATCCTATAGGATCCTGCCACAAATAGTGGTGTTAGACCCCATAGGATCACCGTCCATCCTGACTCAAATCCCAAGTTAAAATTTTAAGATCATAACTTCTTTTTCTCTCTCCCCATTAAAACCTTATTCCCTACCACCTGTCCCCATATAACTCCTCTCTCTTTCTGTTAGTACAAATATTACAAATAATGTCATTTTTTCACAAGAAAAAAATATTCATAACTTTCAAGAAAAATAACATCAACAAAACTAACACAGATAAATTGCTAACCGAAAAAAATTAGAAAGGTAGAGAAATGGTATGATAACACACATATAAATTAGAATAACAGACAAAAAAGTGTAAAAATGGTGGAAAATTGGTATCCAGAGTCATTCCATTGAAGTTACCAGCCTCACATATTGCAGAGCCCAAGCTCTAAGTTAGAAAGAAAAAGTTTAAAAAAAAATGGAAGGAAAACATCGCTGTAATTAAGAGATGATGAGAGAGAAAGAAGTGAGAGAGTGGGCTGAGGTTGAGGAGCTGGTTTACTCTTATTTGGTTCTCAATCCCTGTGATGTCCATGGATTCATCAGAGATGCTTTTCTCAGTCTTGTTGCATAAGACTGAAATCTCTCTCTCTCTCTCTCTCCCTTCTTCTAGTGACATTGTGACCGGTATATGCACTTCTCTCTCTACTGAAGTTTATTTGGTTCTCAAAATAAAGAATGCTCCAAGTTCATTTCTGCTCTTCCATGGACTATTTTGTTGGATGTCTACAGGACAAGTTCTAGTCTTTCAAAAATTTATCATGATTTGAATTAAGCAAGCAATACTTCAAAAATTTGCAGCCCAACCAATTCCCTGATTTGGTGTTTGGTGATTGGTCAAATATCTCCGTACAATGTTTTTCCCTCGGAAAATTATAGAAACCTCTCTTGGATCATAATTTCTTGACTATGGGTCATGAGATTAGTGTTTGGTGCACTGTGTCCATAAAGGTTTTTTTTTTTTGTTTCTGAGCACGGATTTGGTTTGACAAGAGCACTGATTTTGTATCTCCATTGATCACTGTAGAGGATAGTGTAGCATCAAGACTAATAAACTACGAATTCATGGATGATCAGCTAATGTCTTCCCCTCTTTACAAATCAAAACCAACCCCCAAAAAAAACCAGTAGAAAAAACTCATCAAATCCCTGAAAAAAAACTGCCATTAAACCCTGGCTTTCTGCAACAAAGGGCAGAATTCAGGGCTAATCCTATTCTTTTTACAAAACACATCAGGAACCATTTCATTATTGAGCTTCAAAGCTTTGTCGAGACTGAGATTCTTGATTTTCTGCTCGTTTTTCTCGAAAGTCAGTAACAACTGCTTGAAGAAATCCACCCCACAAGAAAACACCAGACCGCCATTGAAGTGGAAACCATATTCTTCAGCAGCTCTCTGTAAAATGGGGCGGAAAACTCGCAGGTTGATGTATTTTTCCATGAGGGAGAGAGAGAGAGGTGGTATAGATTGATGTGAAGAGAGAGAGAGGTGCAAGGGAGTTGCAGAGAGAGGGGGCCTTTGAGGCCATTTTTTTGTGAGAGAGAGAGAGAGAGAGAGGTTGCCAGGGGACAGGTTGTGCGGGCACATGCTTTTAACGGGGAGAGACAAAAAAGGAAGTGTGCTTTTAATGGGGAGAGAGAGATGGGGAAGTTAACATGTTAAATTTTAACTTGTGATTTGAGTTAAGATGGACGGTGATGCTTTGGGGTCTCACGCCTCTATTAGTGGCAGGGTCCTATAGAATCATTTCCCATAAACTAAAGGGAAACTTTGGGATGTATAGTACAGATGACAAAGAAAGTGAAGTAGGCATAATTGTACCCTGCCCTTACACACTGGATAGCGACCCATCAGCCAGGGTAACAGAAGAATTGGGATTGCACTTATTTAGAGATTCAAAAAATCGAGGACTCACTAATCATGTGATTCCATGCTCTTGAGTCAATAACCCAGGGGGCAGGTTTCTGAGAGACAAGAAACATAGAAGTACCCGAATTTGCTAGGGTGGCATTAGAAGAGGAAGAAGAACCATAGACTGTTGTACTTGTTTAACAAGTTTATTATATTCTTCTTTGGAAAGCACAAGAGTCATTAGCGGAAATCTGACTGTTGTTGGTGATCACCGAGTCTACTTAGATAAGGCTCATCACTCCCAGATGTGTAATAACCTGGTTTGCCTAAGCAGGCTTACTAACCTTGTCCTAACACTTAACCGCATGATTTGTATGCTCATATTGTGTACACTTGTGAATTCCTCAACCCCTGCCACCGTGACCTCTACCTCGGCCTCTTCCTGAGTTACGACCACGTCCTTTACCTCTGCCTCCATCATCGCTCCCTACAAATGTTTTCAATGCCGATCCATCACTATATTTGAGTCAGAAAGAGAGGGAGAAGCAGATATTGACTCGGCCTCTTCCTGGGTTACGACCACGTCCTTGACCTCTGCCTCCATCACCTCTCCCTACAAATGTTTTCAATGCCGATCCATCGCTAATACTTGAGTCAGAAAGAGAGGGAGAAGCAGATATATTGACTCGTTGAGTGCACGAGTAAACATTAACAAGAGATGGGAGTTCACTTCTTGCTAAGATTTGTCCACATACAAAATGGTATTCATGATTAATTATATTTTATCACAGGTTATTGTACATTCAATGGTGTTCTTATTGTACCTAATTGTTGTCCATATCATAGTTTTTAATAAAATATAAGGCTGGGAGTTGCATGAGGGTAGGTTGAACCTCATGTCTTTCTCTTTCCTCTCATGTTTTTCATATTTCTCTCTTCTCTCTTTCTTTCTCTTTTCTCTCTATATTATCTGATAAACATGATGGGAGACCACCCAGATGTTCTTGCAAAAATGGAGTATGCGGTCAAAGATGTCTTCTAATGGCCATAGGCAAGGCTGGCTTTTGGAAGTCTAGGTGATGATAGTTTTTGGAGTGTCTTTCTGCCATCAGGGTAGAGAAGGTTCATTGCATGCAGAATCTAAGGAGATCCTCTAGAACAACCATGGTTTTAGCTTTGGTGGAGCTGGCAACACCAATATGGCCTGAAAAGGTAAGCAGGGTCCGAGTCCTGTGATATTGGAACAGCTGAACCAGGATTACTGAGGGAAAAACCATAACATTAAGTTTGATGGAGCCTATGTCCGACATGCATCAGAGGTCTCATCTTTGAATTGGCTTGTGGTGATAGTCTATGTTATTGCCATAACTGATGTTCTCAATATGAAGATATTGGTGGAGGGATTTTTTTCTTTTTTTGAGGTGGGGTTGGTGATGATTTGGAGAGGAGAGAAATGCTTGGAATTGTTGTATGACTGACTGTATGTAGTTTGATGTCAAAATAAGTACTTTGTTATCCCAAGTGTTTTCGATTTTAGACATACTTTGTTATCCATTTATTGACTAGGTTATCTATTTATTCTTGTATGGTAAAAGAAAATTTCTATTCAATTTATTTTAAAAAACCTGTACTCAACAATTTCAATTGGCCAATGCCCCACTATATATTGCTTAGACTTTTTAACATGATTTGCTCAGAATTAATTGCATCATCTGATATTGAACTTTGATGTGTGATCTTATTGTGACTTATTGCAGGGGTTCTGTTTGTGATTAGCAGTGCTTCTTTCTACTGCCTCATTATTAATTATGTGAATCATCTTTTGCTGTAATATCCACATCATGTTCTGGCCATGGTTGCGATGAACAGAAGTTATTTTGTAGATTCTGCTAATGTTCACCATTTTGTAACTTTTGGGCTCCTAATCCTTTGGGATTTAGTGGATTCTGAATCTTCATAGTGGGTTGAACTACTGTTCAATCAAATTGTGTGTTAATTTTAGCGCTTTTTATTTTCATCTGTCAATACCTATTGGTGTGTCTTGGAAAACTAAGAAGCTATAGGTGCCCCTCATGTTTGCGTCCGGCTATCTAGTACTTACTGCGTTGCATATATTATTTCCTGCTCATGTTGTAACTTGCGTTTGAGTTGCATAATGTGCCATTCTTTTATAAGAGGTCTCAAGATCTTATTACTTTTTCTAATTTAATTGCAGAGGAGGGCTGCTTTGGAGGAATGGCTCAACAAATTACTATATGACAATGAATTATCTCGAAGTGTTTCAATGGCATCCTTTCTTGAGCTAGAGGCTGCTGCTTGGTCATGTGGGTGGTTTTCCTTTTAGTAGTTCCTCACAGTGCATGCATTAATCTCTTAATATTATTTATTTGAGTCGGAGTTTGTCGAAGAGCAGTGACTTCTCTCTCCTTTATGCATCCATAAAGCAAATGTTGATATTTTCAGAATCAAAACACTAGATTAAACTGATCCTGTTGGGGTTTGTGGCCTTCAAAGCCCCTGAGAGCATGTAAAAAATGGTAAATGTAGTGAATTGTGCACTTAGTGGGAGTGTATGTTGGTTGACTGACCTAGGATTGGGCAGTCTATGACCTAGATCAATGTCTAAAACCTTTTTCCCTAGGCATCGGCGCTATTGTTGATAGTTTCCTATGGGGTCATCAGTTGTTGAGGGTGGAGAGATACTCATGATGATGTTTGTAGACCAGGAGAGCTTCATGGTCGAATGTGTGTGGTTGTAGGCTTGTGAGAGCAAGAATCAAATCCTCAACAAACTTTCGCACAACATATACATATGACAGTCACATTTTGGGAAGCAACATGTAAAGGTACGTGAATATCTCTATAGAGAGAGCCCCCCGCACACTATAGTGATATGTACTTGTGACTTGCTCTAAGGGGGAACCAGCAATCCACATACTAGGACCATGGTTTCTCTATTTATTAGCGTGCTTTGATGGGCCAATTATGAGTCCCTGCACATGACTGTGGGTCATGGGTTATGTTGTTGGTTTGAGAAGAAAGTCGTTGATCATAGTTTCTAGCATAGGTGGAGTCCGCTGATAGTAACTTTTCTTGACCCATTGGTACTAATCCACTTCTAGATTTATGGGTGTTTTAGAATTTTCAAGAACTTCAAAAATATTGTTTTCATATTCATTCATGCTCCTGTGATTTTTAAATATTTTTCAGAGTTTTTAGAAATTAGTGTATGGATAAAAACCATAAAAAGGATAGTGTTGATATTTTAGAAATTAAGAGGGGCATTGTGGGATCCGCATGGCGGGTTATGGACCTAGTCCTCACATGTGGGGGACCCACATGGTGTCGGACGTAGGGCTTACATGGGCCACATGCCTCACATAGGTGAGACGCCCTCTTGTTTCCAAAATCTTATGGAGTTTCTTTTAAGGGAGGTGGATTTGCCCCTTGACAAGGAAATGTTCCTAGGAGATCTTGTAACTATTTAGTTGGTTGGAAATATTTTCCTTTTGACTTTGAATTGGATCTTCATGTTGATTTTGATTTCTAGTGAGTAAGAGTTAAAATTTTATGGGACTATGGGAGATCTAGTTCCAGTCTGGCTAGAAGGGGATATGGGTCAACGATTCAGGGGACAAGGTTCTTAAGATTCCTCCATAATTATGATGACTGATTTCAAGGATGGATGGCTCTATTTGTTTTCTCAGCTCACTGATTACTTGATACTCGTAACAAATTGAATCCTAATTTGAGTTGGAATACCCTAGAGTCTGATTACCTGGTACTTGTAACAAATTGAATCTTAATTTGAGTTGGAATACCCTAGAGTCTTGAGGCCTATGTAGAGGAGGGCCAACCCTTCATTCTCTTCACCTTGTTTTTTAGGCCTCTTTCTCTCTCTCCTCTCTCTAGGGTGGCATTCCCCACCTATAGGAGCCTAGGGTAGGGTGATGCCACATAGTAGCATGCCCCAAATCAAGGGTTGCAAAGATACGCGGTTGTGTTCCATGCTTTTAGCCCCCAAAGTTTTTTAGAGGGTATTCTAGAGGTATTTCTCTATTTGGAGGATTCAACTGGACCTAAGGATCAAATGTGTTATCGGTTTGATAAACAGGTGTGGGATGTGCTGAGTCCTAAGGGGATAACCCTAGGCAAAGGTTCAGTAAGTCTTGCCTGTTTTATTTATCAGTTTATTTTTAATTCTTAATTCAAATTTGTTTTAGAAGTCCTAATTGTATTAGGAGCCTTATTTGGATCGAGATTCTTACTTGGATTAGGACTCCTACTTAATTTAGAATTCTTAATTGCATGAGAATTTGAATTCATTTTTGAAGAAAAGTTTTTTGGGTAGTAAGAGTTAGAGATCCTAGACTGTAGTATGTTTATTTTAGTATTGTATTGTAGAAAATGCAAGTAGAATTCCAATTAGTAATAAAGAAGAGAAAGAAATTGAATTTTGAATTTATACTTTTGGAGTTCTACATAGCCACACCTTTCAGATCCTTATAAAAGAATGAATATCGGAAAAGTTAATTAAGCACATGGGTAATCTATATTAATAGAAAAGATTACTTGGATTTTCCTTAGCATATTGAAGAATCGCATATGTCATTCTTATACCAAAACTAAGCAATCTCTCGGGAAGGTATTCTATTGCTAAAACAATTTAATGGGGTGAACCTCAAAGTGAAGGTTTAGTCTCCTAGAATATAATCTCGAGAGGATAAAGCTGGGTTTGGAAGCGCAGCGAGTTAATATCTAATAGGCGTGGCGCTCCCTACAATTAGAATAAAAGAGGTGGGTCTTCTTTCTAAATGCATTTTAAAAGGGGCACAAAAAACTGTGTTTTGAATATCTTACTCTATAGTGTTAAGGCATTGCAAGCTATACCTTGTTGACTACCATTGCTTCCTTAACCCTGTTGCATTTTATCATATAAAATTGCTCTCTGCAAACACAACTTAAACCTCAAATCTTAGATGGTTCACCTCAACTCTTGTATGATTCCAAGTTGTCCCGACACCACTCACTAATTATATTCGGCCAGTGGGGGTGAGACATTGGCCACCAAACACAATATGAATTGGAGGTTTAACAAACTTGGAACTATGCTCCACTTAGTGTTATCAGGGGAAATGAGTGTTTTTAAAGAACTCTTATATATGGGATTCTCTACAAAGAGACTAAGTCTCTTTTGTACATGAAGGTCACAATCATTCCCACCCATTAGATGTGAAATTGGATGGCTTGGGGTGAGTTACAAAGGCAGAGATTTGTTTTTTGGAACGGTGTCTATTCAATGACACTCTTACAACCACCCATTTTGAAATTTAAGGGACAAAAATAAATGTGACATCCATGTACAAAAGATAAATGGCCTCTTTGTAGACAACCCCCTTCCTTATTTATGGGTGGTTCATGTTTTGTGTCTTACATCCTTGCTACATGATCTGTGCAGCATGGGCATGTCATAGATACCTTATGTTTCAATGCCAGTAAGGGCATGGGCATGACATAGTATTGGTACAGTTCCAATCTAAAGGAAGTGTAGCACACAATGTGTATCACACAGTGTTATTAAGAGCAGGTTGGACGGTCTGGTCAAACTAGTCAGACTGGGAACTGGTGTGATCAATTTATTGAACTGCCAATTTGTTAAATCGTCTTGAACATCAATTCAAGCAGATGGTCTGGTTGAGCATGCCAATTCATACCGTTTTGATAAGCTTTGATAGTTTTCACAAGCTTTTTGTAATTTTTTATATTTTTTTCTTATAATTTCCAAACCAGTCTAACCAGTGAACTGATCACTCCAATTGGTTTGGACTGCATTAGTGATTGCACATAAACACAAAGAATTTTTGGAGAAAAAGAAAGAAAATTGTGTGATCTAGTCATCTTGGATTTGTTAAAACTGGGTTGAACATTTTTCTATTCTTAAAGCAGTTTTCGAGGAAGACCCTTGCTTTACATGTTCATATATAAATGATGTGTACTATGTAGGTAAGTGTCTTTATGTACCACATTTGCCGGAATGTATGTATTTATGTGTGTTGTGTTTTTGTGTGCATGTGCGGACGTGCACATAAACGAGCATGCTTGAAATGACCTCCTTGAAATGAAATGGTCATTTCTGAAATGTTCGTGCATGTAAATAATGTTGGCTGTGATGTGAACTTAGATTTGTGGTAGAACCAAAAGCTTGGTGTCTACATGAATCATATCAGAGTTTGGTTGGCCCTGATTTATAGAGAGGCTTGAAACTAGGTTTGCGAAACGAAGGATAGGGTTTGTCATACCTGATTTGGAATTTGATGGGTGGCAGACATGGAGTTGATATAGAGTTGGGTTGGATGAAGTAATTAAAGGTAGCTGATTTTAGAGTTTGGTTAGTTGGTCTTGATGGGTAAATCAGCTGGTTTTGATGGATAGGCTACAGGTGAGAACGTGCTCCCCTGGAAGATGGGATGGTGGAGGGGCGCTCTTGGATTTGAGTGAATGATGGGAGGGAGAAGATGAGATGAAGATGGAGGAGGATGACCAAATGGAGATGAGAGGGAATGATTGATGGGGCCTGGCAACGAGGGAAGTTAGTTGGATTTGGGGGCAACACTCAACACCACGTCAAACTAGGATTAGATCCATAGTTACACTTAGTCAACACCATGGTTATCAGACGCAGCCGCATAATACATCATGCGGCCACATGAAAGCAGTGCATCCTTTGGCTGCAATGCATATAGCCTCCTAAGGCGCTTGTAAAATGCTGCTGCACCACATATGCGGATGCTGCTGATGGGCAAATAATGCCCTTAAAATCAATATTTTAAAAATCAATATTTGAAAATTGTTTTTTTTTCATTTGAAGTTTGCGGCAATCCTTGTAGATTTTTTTTTGGGTTTTTAAAGGATTTTAGTTGAATATTTATTGAGTGTTTCATAGGGCAAAGAGTTTAGACCGAAAATGGACATTACTTTAGATTCTTTTGTATTTGGTTATATGTTGCATTGTACTTAGTCACTAATTTTATTAATTTACTTTTTAAGTGTTCGGTTAGCATCATTGTTCTCAAAACTGGCCGGTTTGAACCGGAACCGGTCGGTTAGCTCGGAACCGTTGGGGTTATGAGTCCGGTTAGGCCCGTTTTTGTAGTATCAGTAGTCTAACCCATGTCTCAAAAACATTTCGGGTCCAAAACCGGCCAGTTAGGGGTCGAACCGGCCGTATTTTTGTCAAACTGGCCGGTTTTCAGCTAGCCGGACCGGTTTGACGATATAACGATGTTTTTAAGTAAATAACGGTTATGTATAAATAACGGCATTA